GGAGGAGGAGGAGGAGGAGGAGGAGGAGGAGGAGGAGGAGGAGGATTATGTAAGCTGCCATTAGTTCCTTGAAAGGAAAAAGGCAGAATATAATGCCTTATAATTTAAAAAATAAATTTTCTCATGCAGCCTCAAAGTCCAGAGAAAAACTTCTGCTGAGTTCCTTCACTGATAAAGTAATATTCATTTTATTTATTGCATTTGTAAACCATCTAATAGCCAAAGCTCTCATTACAGGCAGAACAATTCAGTATGATCCTAAACAGATTATTTTGCGGTTATTTATTTACCCATAAAGGTTATTTATCTATTCATACTGTTACTTATTTATACAATTTGTAGCCCACCACCCTATAACATGAATCATCTGGGCAGCTTACAGGAATAAAATCCCACAGAGATTTTAGTATGTATGATGGCATATGTTGAAAAACTAATCCAATAATACCACACTGTTAAATATATACTAGGAGTTGGATCCACAATTAGACCTACATCTGATGTACTGTTAGCAAAATAAATTACTTCACTAGTGGAATTCTGTTACCTTTTTCTGTTGCACAAGTGCTAGCAGACCACTTTGTAAATGTGGAGTCCACAAGCACTTGTGCCAGTGGAACTTAAGTTGGATTCTCCAGTTATGCAAGTCTGGAACTTGGTTTCTGCTAGCGCAAAATCATTTATGCTAGGGAACAACACTGTTGGGTACAACATTTAGTCACAGAGTTGATCCATTGACATCTGAATTAGCCCTCCTTTTGGATGAATTGGGGATTTGGGGACTATTTTTCAAATTTACTGAAGACTCATAAGTGTTTCTTACAATGTATTTACAAGGCTATGATCTATAAAGATAATAGTCTTTGTGAAAATTCATTACTACAAATACACAGGTGTTGTTATGAAAGTCACAGATAAAGTGCTTGCCTCATTTTTGAAGAAATGTGTCACTGACCAGAAAATATTTAATACAATTCTCAGTGGTCATAATCCATCAGAAAGTTCTCTTGTGCTCACTGACACTAATGGGAGTGGTGCATTTGCAGAAGAGCCTTTCAATGAGTATGCTCTCAATTCAGCTATTGAGTGCAAAGAAAATTAAGACAAAAGGAGCAGAAAGAGGCATTTCTGTAGGCCAGATGAACCACAAAGTTTACATCAGTGCAAAAAATCTTGAAGTACTACCACTAATATTCTAATAAAGATTGAGCGTATTCTGTAGAATATAGAGTGTCATTTGGAAAAAAAAGAGTTACGGAGTATCCTGGAGGAGAATATGACGAACTGGGTGGCTTGAATATTGAACAGAAGCATTCCTGTTAGGATACACAACAGTACTTTGATGTGTGTCCCATTTTCTAATGTTGAACCCCTTAGGAGAAAAAACCATACATGTCAAGCAGTGTTTCTTGAAATGCTATTGAACAGCATTGGTGTCAATTCATATTTTACCTGTAATACCCCGTCACAGAAACATTTCTTAAACAATTTTTGGTTAAGCTTCATTCACAATGTGAACAGAAACAACTATACATCAACTGGTAAGTTATCACTGTGTATATATTAACAGTTGGTAAGCTGGTCATCTGTCTTGCCAAGTGAAATCTTAGCACTTCCCTGCTGATCAGGTGCAGAAGTGTGGTGACTGGTGTAGTTTTCCTCACTACATGGCAGGCCAACTAGATTAAAAAGTCATTATTTGCACACCAAAGTAAGTCACTGCTTGGTAAATGATTATCTACATATGAACCCACTTAATGGAATATTCCACATCTGCACTTTAGTATTAGACATGCAAAGGCAGCTTTAGTGAGAGCTATTGTCTGTACCCAGACTACCAAAGCAACTAAATAATAATAATTTATTCATATTTCATCCCTGCTGAAACTCATTACTGACATCCATTAAAATGGTTCAGTAGACAATGCAGATAGGACTAGAATGGTAAATATGTTTCTTACTATCTCTTAATAAAATGCAGTTATGTGCAATTTGATTTTTAGTCCACTGTGAAAAAGCCATACATGATAATAAGTTGGTAAAATCCCCACCCCAAGAGGATGTGTAGTCTAAATTTCATCCAAGCAATTTGGATTTGGGCCATTTGTTCACACATAAAAGTCTGTATCAGTCTGAGATCTTGGGTCCAGAGATCTTTGGCAGCAAGCCCCTTCATTTCAACAAGTCCATGTACGGCTGAAAACAGCAGTCATTTAAATGGTACTATTTCCCCCAATATTTACATTAACTATTTGACTGTGTGCTTTTATTCCAGGCAGCTTACTCTGCAACAATATTCAGTTCTACTCTCTTCTCAACATTAGTCACAGGTAACCACTGATTTAATGAACAAAATACAACACATGATTTGTGCCTATTCAAATGTTACTGGAAACCTTTATCTGGTACAAATATAAAGCTCAATCTCACTTCAAGGCTAGAGGAAGGTACCACTTTTCTTTTATTCATTTCTAGAAAGTTGGGAGTTTTAATCTGTTGTCTTACTACATATGTTTATCAAAAAAACTCAACAAGACTATTATCGTTGGGATTATAGTTCAAACTCGCCTTTACATCACTTAATCAAAAAGGAAGGCCCGTCATTATCAATCCCTCGGGGGTGGGGACAGAATTGCCACTTTTGGCTTTACTAAAAATAGCGCTTTCCCGCCCCCCACTGAGGGTAGTCTGGGTGAGGGAAGGGCTTTAAACTCCCCTTCCCCCCTCCCTCCCAGAGTGTTTTTAGCACCTTAGCAGCTACAATGCTGCTAATCCGAACCTGACAGGTCCCACTGCTGGTGGCCAGTTCACATTTCCCTTGCACGGGGCGCGGGCGGGACAATCCCGTGCCGCGTGTGAATCCGGCCGCTCGCGAAAAAGGCCCAGAGTCTCGCTGGCCGGAGAGCGCCGCCGCTGCCCCAAGGGTTTGCCGAAAAGAGAGAGAGTGAAAGGGGGAGACGTTGCCAAGGCGACGGTTGTTCCGGATCGTACCACTGCGCAGGCGGCGCGGGGAGGAGTGGCGCATCTTGTCGTCTCCTCCTTCCTCTCCCCCGCCCGGCCTGAGTGCGGCGCCGGAGCCCCGGCAGCCAGCGAGCGCGCGAGGGAGTGAGTCGGAGGAGCCTGCGGAGCGAAGCGGAGCAGGGCGGGGGAGGCGGATCTCGAGAGCGGCGGCAGAGGCAGAAACTCGGCCGGGTGGGCTGCCCTTCCCTCGCCTGCGCCGGCTGCTAGACAAAGGAGGAAGAGGCGGCGGCGGAGCGTGGGGAGAACCCGCCCGCTGGACTGAGCGCGATGCGGCGCGGGTCCGCCTGAGGAAAGCGGCGAGGCGGCAACGCGGCCTGCCTGGCGTGGCGCCGGTAGAGGAGGAGGGCGGCGGCGGCGGCGCGCCACAGACCTTTCTTCGGCAGAGCGGCAGAGGCCGAGCCGCTCGCCTCCACTGCCATAGTAGCGACGGCTTTGTGAGGCCCGAGCCGGAAGCGGCGGCCGAGTAAGCTGGTGGGCAGGCGGGCAGCCGCGGGAGAGCTCGGCCGGCGGGGAGACCTCCCAAGCGGGTGGGGGCTGGCGGCGGTGCCACCGGTGCTGCTGCTGCGGGTGCAGAGGCCCGGAGGCTGGGTCGAGCCGCGGCAGGGGCCCGGCTGGGCTGCTCAGCAGAGGCGAGCCGGGCCCGGGCGATGGAGACGCACATCTCGAACCTGTTCCCGGAGCTTCTGGCGATGATCTTTGGGTACTTGGAGGTGCGGGACAAGGGCCGAGTGGCGCAGGTGTGCACGGCCTGGCGGGATGCCGCTTACCACCGCTCGGTGTGGCGGGGCGTAGAGGCCAAGCTGCACCTGCGCCGCGCCAACCCGTCGCTCTTCCCCAGCCTGGCAGCCCGGGGCATTCGGCGGGTGCAGATCCTGTCATTGCGCCGCAGCCTCAGCTACGTGATCCAAGGTATGGCGGAGATCGAGAGCCTCAACCTGAGCGGCTGCTACAACCTCACCGACAACGGGCTGGGCCACGCCTTCGTGGCAGAGATAAGCTCACTGCGGGCGCTCAACCTGAGCCTGTGCAAGCAGATCACCGACAGCAGCCTGGGCCGCATTGCCCAGTATCTCAAGGGCCTCGAGGTGCTGGAGCTTGGAGGCTGCAGCAACATCACCAACACAGGCCTTTTGCTCATCGCCTGGGGCCTGCAGCGCCTCAAGAGTCTCAACCTGCGCTCTTGCCGTCACCTTTCTGATGTGGGCATTGGGCACCTGGCGGGCATGACTCGAAGTGCGGCGGAGGGGTGCCTGGGGTTGGAACAGCTCACATTGCAGGACTGTCAGAAGCTCAGTGACCTCTCACTCAAGCATCTGGCCAGAGGCCTCACCCGCCTGCGCCAGCTCAACCTCAGCTTTTGTGGGGGGATCTCAGATGCAGGGCTGGTGCACCTGTCACACATGAGCAGCCTTCGCACCCTGAACCTACGCTCCTGTGACAACATCAGCGACAAGGGCATCATGCACCTGGCAATGGGCAGCCTGCGCCTCTCTGGTTTGGATGTTTCCTTCTGTGACAAAGTGGGAGACCAAAGCCTGGCCTATATTGCACAGGGCCTTGATGGGTTGCGCTCACTGTCCCTTTGCTCTTGCCACATCAGCGATGAGGGCATCAACCGCATGGTGCGCCAGATGCACGGACTGCGCACTCTCAACATTGGCCAGTGCGTCCGCATCACCGACAAAGGCCTGGAGCTTATCGCTGAGCACCTCAGTCAGCTCACAGGCATTGACCTCTATGGCTGCACCCGCATCACGAAAAGGGGCCTGGAACGCATCACTCAGCTGCCCTGCCTCAAGGTGCTCAACCTGGGACTCTGGCAAATGACTGAGAGTGAAAAGGTCAGGTGAGAGGAGGAGATGCCTGGAGATCCCCATCCCTCCGGAGGGAGTTGCCAACTGACTGCTGCAGTGGAGGAGAGAGAGGAAGGAGGCTATACCTCCAATGCTAGAGAGTGAAGGGAGGGTAGGAGAAAGTATCCTCCCCTGCCTGCCCTTTCAGTGGAGGTGAGGGAAAGGGGACACCCACCATTCTTTCATTATTCCCTCCCTTGCACTGGAGGGAGAACTGCACTCTGTATCAGGCTTCACTGTGGACGGATACAGTATCACTGTCTTTACTGTTTCTATCGGGAATGCAGCGTCTCAATCCTTTATGCACTGGGGATGAATGCAGCCCCTTCTCCAATCTAATTCCACCCCCTTCTGCACTAGGGATGGAAGAAGAAGAAGAAAACCTAGCCCACTATTATCATCTTTTTTCTTTTCAAACTGAAGACCTGCTCTTTATTGGGCAAACACAAGTCTCTTCCTGATATGCTTTTTGTAGTTGGTTACCCCTTTCTTTATGCAATATGTAGACAACCTGTAGATAACATAGGAAGCTGCCTTGCACCATCAGACTATTGGTTATTCTAGTTCACTATTGGTTATTATTAGTTATCACTAGCAGTTCACTAGAATAACCAATAGCATCTTTCTGTGGGTTCAACAGGAATCTTTCCCAGCTCTATAGTTCTGCCTCTTTCCTAGGCCAGAATTCTCTGCTGTCCACTCCTCTCTGCTTCCCTTTTTCCTGTGCTTGAGGCTAGAAACATAAAGCCTTTTATGCTTCTCTTTTGAGCAGGTGATGTTTCTTTGATGCTGCAATGTAATTGGTGTGTCAACTGAAGTGCACTCATTCTGCTCACTGTTGTTTGGGAAAAATGGGGAGGGGGCATCATAGAATAGTAGAGTTGGGCCATGAAGGCCATCAGGTCCAACCCCCTGCTGTTGCAGAACACCAAGTTGCACCATCCCACTCAGATGGTGCCTAGTTTCTGTTTGAATGTCTCCAGTGTGGGAGAGCCCACCACCTCTCCAGGCAGCTGGTTCCACTGTCGTATTGCTCTGAGAGTGAGGAAACTTCCCCTGATGCCCAGCCTGAATCTGGGTTGTCACAACCTAAATTGATTATTCTGTGTCCTACACTCTGGTATCAGCAAGAAGAGATCTTGACCTTCCTCTTTGTGAAGCCATTGAGGTATTTATAAAGGATATCATGTCCTCCCTCAGTCTTCTCAAGGCTGAACATGCCCAGTTCTCTCAGTCTCTCCTCATAGGGCAGTGTTTCCAAATCCTGGATCATTTTTGTTGCCCTTCTCTGGGCCCTTTCTATTTTTTCTGCATCTTTTTAAAATCCCGGTGCCCAGAACTGCACACCGTATTCCAGATGAGGTCTGACTAATGAGGAGTATAGAGGAACTACTACTTCTCGTGATTTAGAAGTAATACTTCTGTTAATGCATCCCAAAATAGCATTTGCTGTTTTGGCGGCTGCATTGCATTGTTGGCTCATGTTTAGCCTATTGCCCACAATTACTCCGAGATCTTTTTTTTTTTTCCAGTTCTGTTGAGCCACATATTCCCCATCTTGTATTGATGCATTTGGTTTCTTTTTCCTAGGTGGAGGACTTGGCACTTGTCCTTACTGAATCTCATTCTGTTGCTTTCAGCCCACTGTTCAAGTTTATCAAGATAGCCCTGGATATTCATTCTGTCTTCCAGGGTGTTTGCTATTCCATCCAGTTTTGTATCATCTGCAAATCTGATTATCTTTCCTAGCACTTCCTCATCTAAATCATTAACAAAGATGTTGAAGAGCACTGGGCCCAGAACTGAACCCTGTGAGACCCCACTAGTTACCTCCATCCAATTTGAGAAGGTACCATTGATGAGCACACTTTGTGTCCAATTTAGCAGCCAGTTTTGGATCCACCTAATAGTTTTTCCATCTAGTCCAGTTTTTGCTAATTTGCTTATCAGAATGTCATGTGGCACTGTGTTGAAAGCTTTGCTAAAGTCTAGGTAGATTATGACCACAGTGTTCCCTTTGTCCATTAGGGAGGTTACCCCATCAAAAAATGAGATTAAATTAGTCTGACAGGATTTATTTTTGATAAATCCATGCTGACTTCTATTAATCACTGCATTTTCTCCAAGTTGCTTGCAGATGGATTTTTAAATAATTTGCTCTAGAATTTTTCCAGGGACTGATGTCAGACTAACTGGTCTATATAGTTCCCAGTTTCATCTTTTTTCCCTTTTTTGAAGATAGGGACAACATTAGCCCTTCTCTAGTCATCTGGCACTTCTCCTGTTTTCCAAGATTTATTGAAGATAATAGCCAGTGGTTCTAACTACAACATTTTTCCTACAGACACATTTTTGCTATATGCAACCCACTCTATCACCATCTTTCATTTGCTGCCAAGACACCTTTGTCAAATATTTTACCATCCCTTTCCATCTGCTTTTTCCACAACTTCATTTTTTCCTGGTTATTTGGGATTTTAAATTACCCAACATACACATCCAACTGCACACTTCTTCCATTTGGAGAACTAGGGACATAGGAACAATAGAATTAATTTTTACTTATACTTTAATACCACAACTGATGCTTAACATACAACACTCCTTTCCCCTACTCTTTCCTAAAGTCTTGTGACTGGTCTCAGCTTTTTAATTCATTCTCTTCAGTACTCATCCACATACATGGTTTAATTTTGAAAGACATTTGAAGTGGCTCTTGTAGATTTTTAAGTACACTTTTTCTGCTGAATAGTCTATATAAATGTTTGGCTACCTCGGGTTTTTGTGGTTTTTTGTTCTCTCTCCAACCCCCCACCCCTCACTCTGGAATTTTTACAAGAAAGATAAGAGACTGAAATATCTTTGTGCCTAGACTGGAAAGAGATCCCTTGGGTATATGATCTGGAGGGGGGGGGGCGTGAGGAGAGGAAAGGCTGGTTGAAGTTTCTTTCCCACCAATACATTATATTTGTGCCTGTCCCTCTCTGCAGTTTTTGGGATAGTGCTCTTGAATTTCTATTCTAGCACAAGCATGTAATATGTGAACATCCAAATTGATGATTGGGCTATGGTTAAAATAAATGTGAAGTAGAAACTCTTTTTCTTTAAATATATGCAAATTCCCATCTCCCCTTCTCTCAAATTACCTAGGGTAGGTAAGATGCTTCCTCTCTGGAAGCAGAAAGAGGAGCAAACCGAACAGACTGACTTGTGGTTGTAACATGATTAACAAAAGTCAATTTCATGTGGTGTTTCTGTGCTGTCATTAAAATAAAGCCACTTCTTGATGCTTGTCTTTAAATGTTGGAACAAGACACCTTTGAAGAAAGCAAAAATGATGGGGCAAAGGGGCAGTTGTGCTATAGAATTCCAATCCTCCACAGCTGCAGGTCATAGATTTCAGACAAGCCCAGACACACAACTCCATCATGGAATAAGTGTACTGTTTGTGAATTTGTATAAAATTAAAGATCCTCTTAAAACACTTTATATTCTTACAGCAAAAGGTTAAACTGATATTTATATAGTAAATACATTTCTGAAACAAAGTTGTATCTGTGTTGTCTTTTAAAGGGCAGGTATGTTTGATTGAAAGTTTTGAAAAGATAACACATTACAGAACAGTTGTGTCCCTTCTCTGTCAATGAGCAGTTTGGTTCAGTGACTCAAAGGAATAGGAAGGCTTTGTTCTCTTAGAGCAGGCATCTGAGCAATTTCAAAATTAGAAGTTCACAGCAAAGTTGTTGGTTCCATTTGAAAGGATATGTGCAATGTGTAGTTGAACCTGCTCAGTTAATAGCTTTCAGTGTAGTATTGGCCAAGTTACTGCTGCTAGAACAAAGTTTTCAAGATTTTTTTACAAATATTAAGAGCAATGAGTATGTATTTCATTTTCCAAAATAATTAGTAGTTCAAGTTCCAATTGTTGCATTACAAGTGAATTGAGAAAAATTCACTTAATTCTAGGGAAAAGATGAACTGTGTGTGTCATCCAGGCTTTGAGATAAAAGTGAAAGCCACACTTCTTGTTAAAAATAGCCTGCATTAGGAAAAAAAAGTTTTCCATCTTGTAGTCATCTTTGACTTTTGCCCTGACAGTGATCTTTTAAAAAACTTCTCTGCTGAGGGCATTTTAAAGTGGTGGTGGTTGGGGGGGGGGGGTTAAGCAGTGCTTATAAGGCATAAAACAAAGCTTTTCTCTCTAAGTCATGCAGCATGCTTTTCTCTCTCGTTTTCTTATTAAAGGAAGGATGGAGGGAAGAGAGAATGTGAAATGGTGGAAGGAGCCAAAGCCATTGTTCAGGGAAGTTAAAAGAGGAGCTGTCCTTGCTTGCTTGCTTGCTTGCCTGTTCAGTCATGCATACTGAATCTTGCTGTGTGAGGGTCCCTGTGGAAGGGAGGAGGGGTGGTTCTTTCCCTCTTTTTAACATTCCTCTCCAAGCCTGGCTGTATTTAAGCTGCTTTTCCTCCATGTGGAGGGCAGGGGTGGGGGATGGTCTGGAGTTCCTGTACATTTGCATTTCAAGCACTTCCAGGGCTGTCGCAGCCTACTCTGTTCATTCAAAATGTTCTTTCTACTAGTTGGTGTCTTCTCCAGTGTACTCCAGGTAAACTAATTATCCACAACACACTCCTAGCCAACCAGCAATGGATCCTCAGTGGCACTGTAACCTACCATTTCAGTTTTTTCCTTCAGTACTTCAAATAAAGGTAATATCTTCATATTTAAACACAGGAAAATGAATAATGTGAGATTTCTGCTTTAAGAGAAGGGGTGGGGGAACTATGTATTTCCTGTTCAGAGTAAGGTTTTACTGGACCTCCACTGTGCCCTCAAGGAAACCAGCACCTAGACAGTTATGCTGCTTTTATTTAAAATCTTTCATGCTTTCTGCTGGGAGTTGGACACAAAAGCTTCATTGTTCTCATTGGCAAAAGCCAGCACAATTGGATCTAATTGAGCCTGACACTACATCCATCTTCTCTTACTTTAAGGGGGTGCAAGGTCTGCTTCTATGTTTTTTCTCCCCCCTCAGCCTTTTTTTTTTTAAATTACAATAAGTTCGTGACTGATGGGAACATGAAGCCTACTGAAATGGGAATTGCTTGACCATTCCATACTGTCATTGCACACCGGACAATACAGAGAACAAGTTCTCTTAAAATAAGCAACCAGGAATACACTTCCTTCTATCCAACCAAGTGGTAGACATACATTGCTTGATAACAGTTCATTCCAATCAGTGCTTATGTACAGTGCTCACTATCTTGCTTGGCTCAGTATACAGATTTTTTTAAAAACCCATGCTGAAAATAAACTTTTGGGAGATTTGATATATTCGGAAGCATCAGCTGTTTCAGGTGTCTTCTGTGTTTTTTCCCTAGATCATACTTTCTACAGAGCAGTATTTATCTTCCATTCATTCTGTGGCAGAGGGACTACCAGCAGTTCTTCATGGTCTCTGTACATCACACACATACGGGCTTTGCCGCGAAGTGCAAGACCTGGATCCAAGAAAAACTGCAACAGATACCTTGTAGCCCTAATAACATCCTTCTGAACAACAGAAGCAAAACACTCCTGTGTTCTGAGAACTAGATTGTGTACAGATGTTTCTGATTTGCAGAGTGAGTGCTCTGTAAACATTCAAACCTTTTCGGTCAAACATGAACTACCACACTCAGGAGTTACCAGTTCTTCCTGTTTTCAGCAGAGGCTGGCTGTGGAGAATGCTGATTGGCTAGATCTTGTGCCACTAATGAAGCCACTGTTCTTATCCAGACCAATGCTTCAAGTTTTTACAAAGGTGGTAATACGTATTTTAAGAGGCAAACATAATGGGTGTGGGGGATTGCTTAGTCTAAAAACCTACCTGAAGCACTGGGAAAATAGAAAAAATACTGTTCAAAACGGGGGAGGGGGGCAAAGTTCATCCTATAGAAGCAACCTACTGCAATGCCCATATGAACTCCATTTTGATTATTAATTTATTAGCTTTATATTCCACCTTCTCCTTACAGAGAACTCAGGGTGGCTTACATCATTCTCCTCATGCTCTCAATTTTATCTTCACAACAACAACCCTGTGGAGTAGGTAAGACCGAGAGTCTGTGACTGGCCCAAAGTCACCCAGCTGGCTCCATGGCTGAGCGGAGACTAGAACTCAGATTGCCTCAGTCCTGTGTTTTTAACCATTACCCCATGCTGGCTCTCTCATTTTGTTTCTTTAAGAGGCTATGATCTAAAAGCAAGCTGATACAGTTAGAACTTGTTTTAATGTGCAATAAACTTTGTTCTAAAACACAGTAAAAATCGAAGGGGTTAAGGTATGTATGTACAACTCCCAGCATGCCTTAGTCTAAGCATTCATACTATTGTATCCTAAAGTATTTAACTTTAAGTGTAAAAAATGTTTCAGGTCCTCTTAAAAAGATGCATTACTTAGGTGAGCAATGTAATGCATAGGTTACAATCCCATAAATGTTTACTTTAGACTTTTGAATGAATATAAACAATAAGTTTGGGATAGAAAGGTGAATACAGATGGCTACTTGGCATGTTGTATTTATTTACTGCAGTGGCATTTTCTTATAGTACAATCCCATCCCATACATGTCTACTCAAACATAAAGCCCTATTAAGTTCAATATGACTAACTCACAAGTAAGATTGCAGCCTAAAAGAATATATAAAACTGCAATACCATAAGCATTTTTCTGGGAGAAAGTCAGACTGAACTGAATGGGGCTTATGTTTAAGCAACCATGCATAGGATTGCACTGTATCCAATCTGTTAAAATAAAGCATTCCTAATGCCATTCACAAAGATTAAAAAATGAAATCACATTAAAAAGGTGGTTCTTACTCTTGTGTATAATACCTGAAACTTTGTCAGATGCAGGAAGTAATTTTAGTGCTTGGTAATAATGCTGAGAAAAAAACTTGAAAATGCAACTTTAGAATGGAGGATTCACTTGACAGCGTGTCAACTTGCTTGCCTGGAGGTTGCATATATGTGTGCTGTAATGCCACATGGCATGTAGATGTCTGTAAGGTGCTGAAAATGAACGGTCTGCATTTGCTAGTGCAGGAAATGGAAGCCAAGAAGGAAAAGAATGAGGGGACAGTAAAGGCAAGGGAATGGATTTGAACAGCATGACAGAAAAGCTGTTTCTTCACTGATGTCCTGGTCTAGAGCAAGGATATAAACTGGAAAAAGCAGTATCATACTTCTGTCATTAGCATGGGAAACTAGTTAGAGTCTTTGGCATCAATCCTATGAATAGTAAGTGCAGTGTTAAAAGATAAAGCTGACTTCCCCAACTTGCTGCCCTCCAGGTCTATTGAACTTTAAATCTCAGCATCCCCTAGTCAGCTGTTGACTGGGGGATGCTGGGAGTTGTAGTCCTACACATCTGGAGGACACTAGTTGGGAATGACTGGGTTACGGTCAAGAGAATTTAAATGTTAAAAGGCAGATGTGGAAATTGGGCAGTTCCTAATGTGGCTTTCGATCAGCATGGTAGTCTTAACAATGTTCTAAGCCACATGGAATTGAGGGAACATCTATGAACCGTAAGATGTGGCAATGCAAACTGAGCTAAAATGTTTGAAATATTTGTGGTAAAGCTTCTACTCTTACAGTAAAAACATATGCATAGTTACAGAGAAGTCCCACTGTGTTCAGTACAGCTTACTCCTGGGTAAGTTTAGACAGGATTGTAGCCCTAACCTATGATTTTGTTTAATTGTGTATATCCAATTAACAATTGGCTTCTTTACTCTCTTGCATTTCTTTCATTATCTCTAAGGTTCATATTAAAACTGGTCACTCCGAACAGTGATTGCTGGACTTTTGAATTTCTTTGCCTTTTGACATTTAAGGATGCAATTCTATAACAATTAGGCAGGAAAAGTCCTAAAGTTCCCAGTATACCCTAGTCAGGCATGCCAACCAGGAATACTAGGAGTTGTGGCATTTTCTCTGAGTAAACTAAATGTGACCTAAATTGTACAATTGTACAAATCATATGCATTAATTCTTTATTTACCTGGAGCTTGGCCTCTTTCTGCTAGCAAAGAGGGGATGCTCAAACACAAGAATGTGTTTACAATTAATTCTTGGAAGAATATTTTTTAAAACACAATATTGTAGTGCCAATACATTAACACATGCTTTTCAAGGACATCCAAATAGCATTCTATGGTCTCTGGATCAGATATTACTGCAAACATTGTGTTTCCTTCAGCCAGAATGAGAACAAGTTCTTACTATATTATTTCCTAATTGAATAAGAGGGAATTTGCCCTCCAGCTGCTGCTACTAAACAGACATGCAGGGCAGGGCAGAATGCACAAGTATTGACTTGGTTTGGCAATTGTGCACTAGGGTACAAGACAATCTAGAAATCTTTCATTGTTCCAAGCAAAATTATCCCAACTGTAGTTTGATACCCAGAAAATAAGCAACTGCTGCAGTGTACGGTTGGGACATATTAAAAGTACATTCAAGCACTCTTGCTGCATTTGCTTGTTATGGGATTTCAAAACAAGCTACCCTATTGTGCTATCTTATTTGGACTTGCTAGGAGCCAGTGTGGCATGATAGCTAAGTGTGTGAGCTGGGAAATGAGTTTAGATCTAGCTACAGCCACAAAGTGGCCTTAAGCAGATTACCATCCCTCAGCTTCACCCCACATCTGCAACGTAAGGATGATATAGCTGACCTATTTAATGGGGTAGCTGGAGGTTTTCTTGACACAGATCATTCAAAACATTTCAGCTCACTGCAGAAGGTAGACAGTGAAGTGCTGGATAACAGAACTTTTCTGCATGTTTAAAATTAGAGGGGAAATAGCATCATATGGATGCTGCTCTTCAGTGCATGCCTCTTCCATGATTCTGCAGGCAAAATGGCTGTAATGTGTGTGGTTTCTTCATGCCTCAGGAAGGCAGTGAGGAGTGAGGGAGGCGCATGTCTTCGGAGAGGTGAGGTTAAAGAATGGAAAATAGAAGTCCACACACTTCCGTGTTAGCATTTCAGAGGAATCTGTTCTGCAAAGTCTGCAGGTTTCAGGAACAGGCACAGTCTGGTTGCAGCAAAAGTGGGGCCTTTGTGTTTTTCTTCTCTTTCCCTCCCTCCAGCCAAAGCCCACTTCTACAGGCAGCTGCTCTTTCATACTGCTGTCTGTTAAGAAAAGATAATCAATAAACTCTACTGGAAGAGCTGAGGCTATGTCTGAAGACCCCTAAGGATGTCTTCTAGGCACTGTGCCAAAGCTGCTGGCAAGATTGCATAATGCTTCTGCAGTGTCCAGCCAGAGTTCTTGCAGTCAAATTCTCTAGGCTTTAAGCTGCATGGAGCAAGAGGGGGGAAGAAACAGCAGAGGTGGGGTTTTGGCTGTTCTGGCAAAGCCAGTTTCTTCTCACACATGCTTGCAATGTAGCCAGTGTATTTTCCCTCCCTGCTTTCTCTTATTCCCCTATTTAATTTAATTTAGTTGGTGAAGCAGGCCCTAATGCAAACGGAGGCTAAAATACCTTTATTATTATTTCATGCTAATTTAAATCAAGAATTCTATCTCTTATTTCTCCTTTGAAAATAGTAAGAGGAAGGTATTATCATAAATGATTATCTAATACACAGTGAAGCTAACATGTATAAATATAAATTGTCAGTATTAGTGATAAGCATATAGAAGGTTCTAATTCTAGTTATGGCTTGGCAAGCCTCTTGCCCCAGATGCTGGAGAGCTGCTTTTTCAGCATAGATGATATTGAATAAGTTGGATCATTTGATTTGGTATAAGTACTTTCCTGTAATCCCCCAAAAGCGGTCACCTGAAAATACGCTGCCATCATTTTCCTAATAACAGGCATTTTATACATATATTCAAGGTCTAGGAGCTATGGTCAAGAGAGGAGAGCCAATTGTCTGAACTAGAGTAAATCTCATTAAGGTTGCAGTCTAGAAAACAATTGCACTAGATTAGTCCTATTGATATCAGGATTTTAGAAGTTAAATAAAAAGGTCATGCTATTATAATGGATATTGCATTCCCCCAAGCCACATTTGATGTCACTGTAAACCAAGACTTTGTCTGGGCAACAGAGTTGTGTCATGGATCCACAATGTATCAAGATGCCTAAAGCAGACAATACTCCAGGGTGTAAAAATAGATTCATAAACTAAGTAATTGATCATTTTTGTCCTTTGGTGGTTCCTTGAAATTGCCATCTGAAGCAGGCTATATGTCAGCTAATGGTAGAGCTGGCCCAGTTCTGCAGCCAGTGTTTGAGATATTACAATGTTAGTTTGACTCGGTTTTGGGCAGGAGGGGCAGCACCACATCCATATGTGATTCTAAGTAAGGCAGTAACTCTTATTGCCTTAGGGTTTTCAAAACTTTAAGTACATCAACAGTAAAAAGACAGAGAAAATATATTTAATAATGGGAGAGCCCAGAAAGGTGCAAGTGAAAGAAAAGCATTCTGAAAGCATCATTAAACACCTTTATACAAACTGCACTATCATGCAGTGCAGCTTGCAGAAAGAGGATAGTTTAGAGGATAGGATAATTGCAGAAGGATAGCAGGTGGCAGCAGTCTCTGGCAGCAGATATAGAAGGGCGCAGCTGAGAAATGGGCTGAGTGATTTATGGACCACAATCCCTGAGCCACTCATTCAAAAGCAGAAGCCTAATTATTGTGGAGTTCTTTTAATTGCACATGCGCATAGAGCACCAGCTGGGCTCATTCGATAAATAGAAAGAGAGTATTTCCAAGCATCCCATGCCAGACTCTGGGATGACATCCCTTCACTCTCCATTATTTCTACAATTAGTTGTGCACAGGCTGAGTTCAGGATCCATTTGCAGCCAGAAATTCTACTGCCAGAGTCCTAACAAAGCAGAAAACAACTAGTATCATCTTCCCCTGCTAGGAATTGGTCCCCAAAGAAACTGAGCTTTTGTGGGCTTTTCCAATCAAATGCTTGCGAAAAGCTCAAAGACAGACACAAACCACTCCCTTTTCCAAGGCCATGAACTTGTCTTTGAGAAGGGGAGGGCAGTTGTGGATTCCCCAGCTAAGTGTCATTTCCTGATAGGGACTGAGGCTATCCGTTCCAGAATCCCTGGCAGAAATTACATGCCTAGTATCAGTTCCCTGCCTTAATCCCTGGTGAGAAAAGACATGCTGTTGAGGCCTGAGAGCATCCTCTGCCCTCACTTTCACCTTTCCCAAAGGTACTTTCTGGGGTTTAAGGGGAAGGGAAAAGTGCAGCAGTCTGCAGCAGCATCAAGCGCTGTACAACCCGCCCCAGAACATCCCTGATCTTTCTTAACAGTGACTGTTGTTAACACAGTTGTTGCCATGCTTGAAGAAGGATGAAATAATACAAAATGCAATCGGGCTGTGCATCACATCGTTGCCATTGGGAGCACTCCTGTCAGCCAGCCATACCCTCCTCCACAGGGCTCCATTTCATACCTTCTATTACCTGGTTTTCTACTCTTCCCACCCCTTTCAATAGTCAGTCAACATTTTGGAGCTCAGCATGCTCAGTTCCAATTGGGCTGCTTTGAGCAGGGGTGTTTTTCACTGATATACAAACACTTGGATGAGGTTACAAATAATTGTTTCTCCAAACTGTGGGGCTTCCCCCAGGCTTGCTGAAATCTCTCTCTTGTGCATGGTTCTGTTCTGGCTAATGATCAACAGCATTCATAATGGAATGTTGGAAACTAAGAGAATTACAGCATTTACTTAATCATTTTCATTCACGAACAAATATGGAACCTTTGCTATTTAGACCATTCCCCAAGCTATAGAGGAATTCTTTCCCAAAAGTACTGTCCTATATCAAGTACGATGACTATCCATGTAATTGAACAGAGGAAAGCAACCCACTGACTGCACCTCATTTACAATGGATCACAAAACTTAATAGGAGCCATTTGGAAACTTGAGTCTACTCCTTCATATCAGACCTTGCCCTTGCTTTTGCTAGAATGTGGCAGAACACAGCAACTATATGCCTAGAAAAAGCAAGGGTGGACAACTTGTGGCCCTCCATGTTTTTTGGTCTCTAACTCCTGTTTTTGCCTTCCACCCCTCATTATTGGCTATGCTGACTAGGGAAAACATCTGGAGGATCACAAGCAGGCCACCTGTGAACTAAAGCCTCATCAAGCTGGACAGATGTAGTTCAGTCCCTAGCCAGAAATTCTGAGGTAAGACTACAGTGTGCGTGTGTGTGTTTGTATGGGGGGGTCCATCATAATGTACTGCAAAAGAAACTTTGAAGCCTAAATTGAAGTCTGTTAAGTTGAAAATTTGTTTGTTAGATTTCTATCCCACTTTTTTGTTATGAACTCAAAGTGGCTTACACCACTCTTCTTCTGCTCTCAATCTTATCCCCACAACAACAACCCTGTGAGGTAGTCTGTGACTGGCCCAAAGTCACCCAGTTGGCCGCACGACCAAGTGGGTACTAGAATCCAAGTCACCTGAGTCTCAGCCCAGTATTCTTAATCACTACACCACACTTGCTCTCTTACGAGTTATTTAAATTTAAAGTTATTTAAATTACAAAAACTTTTTCTGTCTAAACTTTCATAGGATTGTGCCCTTAGTTTACAGATTTAATTCAGAAAGGAGGCTGCTGTCCCCCAAATATAGACCTGCAAGGAGGGGAGAGGCAAAAATTATAATCTTTTTCCCCCAGCACTCTCTTCTGGATTATCATGGGCTGAGCCAGAACCAGTCCTGTCCCATAGAGCTCAATGGAAGACATCTGAAAGTGAGCTATAGGAACACAGGAGTTTGCTCCATCAAATCCAGT